TCCCCCCCCCCCCCCCCTTCTTTTCTTTCAGCTGATAACAGAAGTAATTTAAAACTCTACTTTGGCACGGCTCAGGTGAGATAAAAATACTCTTACTCTCAGAAATGTTCTGTCATTGGCTTATTACTTTCTTTTAATGTTTTCAAGATTTTCAGACAGCATCTACCTATGTCTGCGCCCAACAGCTGCAGTAGTTCAGTGTTTAAAAATTGGAATGCGCTGGCCAGATCAATTCCAACTGAACTGGCTCATGACAGTGTATAAACTTGCCACCCCCCTGAAAACATTAGTTTTCCACAACATTTGAGGTTCACAGAAACATTATGGATTAAAGAAATAGGCTGATATGTCATTTGGCAATGAGAACAAGTGGTTTCAGATTATTTTGATGGAGGAATTAATTCCAAAGTCTAAAATGTTTTACCTTCCACAAATTTGAGAGGTCTCCAAATAGCTAGTGTAACTTGAAAGAGTCTTCAGTAAGCAAATTCCCAGCCACGTAAGGGCTTTCAGGTCAGGAATTCCATCTCTCCCTTGTTTAGGAAACTAGCAGGTATTTTATTTTTTTTTGCTCAGCGTCTTCTGTTTGGTATTTCTGTGAGCAGATTGTATTACTTTTTACTTCATAATCATTCTTGGTGGTTCAGTGAAACCAAATGTAATTTAGTTCCATTTGAATACTACCAAAAATATTACATTGCTTTTGTATTTTGAAGCTTGATGTAGATGGAAACCTCTAAAGAGGTTTCACTGAGATCTGGCAAAAAGGATGTCAGGTCACAGCTCTTATGGTTAGGTCAACTCTTAAGAACTATGGGGTACGTGGAATATATGAGTTCAATTTCTAGTCTGACAGAAACTTTCTCAAGGGGATACTGCAAGTGAGGAAGCATGAGTAAGAATTACCATACCTGATAGTTCTAACAATCTAAACAATAGTTCTGAAGGTTGCATGTATTATTTACCTAAATGATGTGTCCCGTTAAGAGATTATGTTACAGAGTCTTAGTAGAAACTCAGATACTGTGTTCAGCTTCAAATTATGTATCCAGGTGATACCATTCATTTGTTTGCTGCTTCCCATTCTTACTAGAGGTTTTTGAGTTACGCTTGAATCAAGCTCTTATTATTCCAAAGAATCTAGTAGTGAAACTAGATCACTTAAATGTATGGCAATATCCTTTCAAAAGGACAATCAATTGATTAATAAACTTCGGGGAGAAGTCCAAGGAGGAGTCTGTATGTGCTTATGAGAATCCAAGTGGCTAAACTGCTAGATCTAGCTATTAACATTAAATTTCAACTCAGCTTTCCATCATTTGTCACAAAGTCAACAGCAGCTTCTTCAATTAATACCTTAAATCTGCATTTAGCAACTTGGAAAACTGGAATTCTGTTGACTTCCGAGTTGGACTTCCCCTAAGAAGTTAGCTGGACTGGATAGGCAGAAACCCAAATTCAAATTGGAAACCATCTGCATTAGAATGGACAGAAGTTTTCATCTGGATTTAGGAAGTCTACATCTCTGTCTCCTGTTACATGTACTGTCAGTGAATCCTTAAACAGCTTGTACTGGTCATGATAATTTCACTTTGCATTTCTGTTTGTTCAGTCTGGTGTCAAGAATGTGATATTTTGGAAAGAATGTATAGATCTTCTCCTGCCTGTTTACAGGATCCGATCGCTACTCTGGCAATAACATTTTTTCCAGTGTTTTGGGCCATCTCTCTGACATCTGTCCCTAGCTAGAGTGGAACTAAATAAAGCTTGCTGTCTCCCCTTTCACTTTTTGTTGTGTCCTCTGGGACTCTTACATGAATCATAGGTTGTAGAGCCTTAAAATGATTTGTCTGTGAAACTAATTCAATTAGTTGCGTCTTTGAAAGAGAGGTTTCTTGTACTTGTCAATTTTAGTTGAACCCATTTTAATCATCAGAGAAGCTTAATATGAAAATAAATTTAATTCTAATAAAGAGTTATGTTTTATATTGCAATGTTGAAAGCGTGGTTATAAAAGGGTAACATATGCAAAAGACAAATCTAAATGAAGTTAATAAGAGGAATCTGTCAGAGCTGTTCTGCTGTCTCTAGGTTGGCTGGAGGCCTGGGGAACTAGCCTTGTTTTCTCTCAGAATGCTTAAAGGCGGCCCTTCTCCAAGCTTCTCTCCCTTCCTTTCCTACAATTGGGAAACAACTTTTCTCCTTCCTGGTTCTTTTTGTAATTTGAATGCAGCACCGTAACAACAGTCCGCAAAATGGTAATCGTTCCGTATAAATAGTGTTTCAGAAGAGGTATGAATTGCAGACATGTCTAAACAAACCTAGTTTATGGTTTGGTTCAGCTTTTAATAGAAATAGAATGGATATATTGATGATCTATGGGACAAGATTCCTCCATCACACACATACACAAACTTACAAAGGAAAGGTCACATTTACAGTTCTCCCTGCTATAGAACATTCTTTGTAAAACAAGGTACTGTGACCAGAATGCTTGCGTGTGTGTGTGTTAATGGTGTCATCTTACCTGCTTCCCAGCAGTTTTTCTGTACCCATTATGTATAAGGAAAAGCTGCTCTTGTTCTTTCAAGAAGCTTTGAATTTCCGTTGTCCGGGAAGTGTGGAAATCTCCTAGATTGCATGTATAAAGAGGTAAATCTAGCTGAAGGCAGAGGGCAGGAAGGAACTACTTGCATGTTAAAATGAATTGAACTTTATCTTCAGACTTTCCTTTGCCTTAAAGATGTTTGAGTAACTTATATTTGAAGACCTTAAAGTGTATTACTTCAGGCTCAATAATGAATCTATTAGTGGTTAATACTCCTCCAGTAAATTTACTACATAAACTCACCAGTGTTGGCCTAGTAATAACTGTTAAATAAAGTACTTTGCATAATAATTCTTTTTTCATCAATTAATTTATTTTAATATTTTTTCCCACAGTTTTTATACCTCCGTTCTCCACATTTCAAATCTTTCAGCACAGGTTTTCATGACGGAAAAAGAAACTTGAGGAACAGTTTGAGTTGTGATTATTTATGCATAGATGTGATTTTGAAATATGAGATCCACAAAGGCTGTATTCAGGAATCTATAATAGCTGTATTTTCTAGAAAATTCTGACTTTACAGCCTTGGGATCACACACCCCCAGTGTTGTGAATCTACAAAGGAAAGCTAATTTAAAATGTGATAAGTTTAAATTACAGCATTACTGGTAACTGTGAGATTTGGTGGTATTTTTCAGTGATCTGTAAGGTATATATTGAAGAGTCTTGAAAAATCTGTGAAACAATGGGCTGCAACTTATTTCTAATGAGAAAATTATTATAGACTAATAACTTCTAAAAAATTTTGTTGACTACGCTGATTGTAATTATGAATTACATTTTTTTAGGTCATGTCATGAAAGCTGCTGAGCATTATGAAGCATTTTATCAGCTAACAGAGGGTTTGACATGGAAGGATAAGACAGGCCATACTTACAATTCACTGGCATGTAAGCATCTCTGGAGAATTTATACATTACTAGCAGACAAAATGCTAGAAAATAAAGAACACCAGCAGGCCATCAAAACGCTAATAAAGGCTTTAAAAATGGCAAAAGAAGGTAGGTGGGAAATAACACTTTCACATTCCTTTATTTGATGTGCATGCCATGATTTTCCCAAGAAATTGCGAAGTGTTTGACTGGGTGTTTATTTCCTATGAAATTCAAAGACAAATGCTATCAATACACTTCCAGAACTCACTAAAGCAGAAATGCCTTCTTGCTGACAACAAAGAATCTTTTTAGCTTCCTGAAAGCTTTATCTCAAAAAAAAAAACAAAACCATGTGGGAATAATATTATAAAACAGTGAACCCAGAATCAGAAAGTGAGGTCACCGATGGAAGCTCAGCTCACTGATTTTGATTGGCTAGTCACTGTTGATGTGGCAATTTTTGAGGGATATCTGCTGGATCACTACCTTTTCATTCTACATAGTTATTAATACTTGCAAAAAACAGTTTTCTATCATAAGAAAACAAGATTTCTTCTGTATATCTTAATTTATGTGAATACTTTGAAACATAAACTAAAAAAATAACAGAATTGCAGAACAGTTGAGGCAGGAAGAGAGACCTCTGGAAGATCATCGGGGTCAGCTAGAGCAGGCTTCCCAGGACTACATCCAGTCAAGTTTTTAGTGTCTTCACACGTGGAGACTCAATAACCATTCTGGAAAACTTTCCACTGTTCTAACACCCTCACAGCAAAGAAGTGTTTTGTTGATTTCAGATGGAATTTCATTTTGTGCCCATTGCCTCTTGTCCTGTCACTGAGCACCACTAACTTTATACCCTCCCATCAGAAACTTGTACACATTGACCGCATCTCTTCTTCTGTGATCTGAACAGTCCCAGCTCCCTCAGCCTCTCCTCCTAGGACAGATGCTCCCAGTCCCTTAGTCATCTTTCCAGCCCTTTGCTGGACTCACTCCACTATGTCCCCCGCTCTCTTGGAATGGGGAGCCCAGAATCCTGTGGGGACACAGCACTCCTGGGGTGACCTCACCAGGGCTGAGTACAGGCAAAGGATCACCTCCCTCGACCTGTTCGCAACGCTCTGCCTAATGCAGCCCAGGATCCTGTTGGTCGCCTTTGCCATGAGTGCGCCTTGCTGTCTCATGGGCAACTTGTCCACCAGGAAACCCAGGTCCTTCTCTGCCAGCCTTTTTTCCATCCAGTTATCCCGCAGCCTGGGTTGGTGCCTGCTGTTCTCCATCCCCAGATGCAGGACTTCCCATTTCCCTTTCCTGAACTTCATGAGACTGTCATCGGCCCATTTCTCCAGCTTGCCGAGGTCCCTCTGAATGGCAGTACAGCCACTTACCTGGTGGATTGACCATTCCTCCTCAATTCTGTATTGCCTGCAAACACGCTGAAGGTGCGCTTGGTCACACCATCCAGGTCGTTAATGAAGATATTAATCAGTATTGGTGCCAGTATTGATCCGTGAGTACACCACTTGTGACTGGCCTCCCGCTGGACTCTGTGCTGCTGCTTACAATCCTTTGAAGGCTGGCAGCTCAGCTAGTTGTCAGTCTTCCTCACGTGCTATTTATCTAAGCCATGCTTCATCAGCTTGTGTATGAAGATGTTATGGGAGACGGCATCGGAAGCCTTGCTAAAATTGAAACAACATCCACTGCTTTCCCTTCATCCACCAAGCCAGTCATCTTATCCTAGAAGGCTATGAGGTTGGTGAAGCACAATTTCCCTGTCATGAATCTATGCTGACTACTTCTGATTGTCGTCTTGTTCTAGATAATGGCTGTATGAAACTTTATCTATGTGTGGATAGGTTTAAAATTGGGGGAAATTGTATATAACATTCAAATGCTATTCTAATGTGAGATGTTGATCAGCTAGAAATACCATACTTTGGAGCATTTCTTACACATGAGAGGGAACGGAAAAGAGAAGGCAAATCTTACAAGTTGACTTTATGAAAGTACACGTAATTTTGCAGATTTTTCAGAAATCTTAATAATGCTTGTTTCTCAAAAGATGCTGTTAAATGTCCACTTCTACAGACTTACTTTTCCTAGATGATTATCCTAGATGATTATTGGAGTGCTTCTCAGAAGTAGGATAGAAGGAAGGTCTCAAATAATCATCTCTTTGCATGCACAGCAATTCAAGAGCCTTTCATGGTATTCCTTAAGGGGCGTATTTTGCATATGAATTGCACATACAATTAATATATAATATTAATTGAATATTTATCACCAGATACATTAGTTTTTTAAATTTAATAATGTATGCCCAACATTAATCTGTTAGCCAGTCTTTGAGCAGTAGTTGGGATAGATAGAATTAAACTACCAAAAATGGCAAAAAAATTGAAAAAATTTTCCAAAGTTTAAAATAAGTTTTGCCACAAATAAATATATGACTATACAGGTAGATAGCATAACACAGCAATCTACAGAAAAGTATAAAATGTATTCAGTGAAGCCAAGGCAAGTTCCTAAAAAGAAATCTCTGTTAGACCAGCAGATAATCTTGTAAAAAATGAACAAGTTTTCAGGCATCTAAGCCCATGTGAACTTTGTCATTTATTATTTTTAAAAGTGCCAGTGAATTATTTCTATTTCAGATTTTTCCTTATATTCTCTTTAATTATATTATTTCTAAGGAACAAAAGTTTCTCATCTTGCCTTATCTCATGAAGAATAATATTTTAAAACCCCCTTTGAAATCTGAATGCTTTTATATGGTAATTTTTGGGGAGTAAACCAAACAAGATTTTGGGGGCAAGAATTCAATTCTTTCCATTCCAAATGTTTAATTTGTGAGACTATATGATTGTATTTGCCTAATTTTTTTTTCTTTTAATTAAACCACTTAATAACCTATTTTGTTTTTATCTGCAGTTTACATTAGTAGATCTGTTTTGTGAGTTGCATGTTTAGATCTTTTCTCTTGGGAGTATGTACCCAAATACTGAGAATGCCAATACAGTTAATCAGCTGAAGAAGAACACGTTTACCCAAAAACTTCTCCATCTTTTCCAGCTGCATCTGTTGATCAAATACAAGCTTTCAGCTTTTTCTGCCACTGTTGTCTATAATACATGCTTAAGTCACAGCTACAGTAAAACTAATGTTTATTGTAGTAACTGGAACGACTGCTGATGAAGTTTCTCATCAACTTCTTCCTATTGCTAGTGAAAACTGATGGGAATGAAGAGATTGTCAAAATGGATCTGATGCCTTTCCAAAACTTACTTTGTCCAGGCAGATGTTCCAGTGCCCTTACTTTAAATCCATCACTTTCCATAGCTTCCTGAGCCATGTAGCAAATATCACTATGTACAGTAGGCTTGCCATTGTTCTCTTTAAATTTAAGCTTTAGAAATTCCTTTCAGACAAGTTCTCTGGTCCCCATTCCAGACCTACAGCCCCTATCTGTTTAACAATTTGGTTAAACCCGTATTGGCTCTGGCTGCCATCTGTAATATCCATTCTGTCCTTCTAGACCATCACCTATGTTTGTGTATTTTATGAATTAGGATTAGATATTACCCACTTTAGATTGTCAGGCTGTTCTTAAGCGAGGAAGGAAGTTTTTTATATCCCTAGCAACTTTGCACCACTTCTTCTGTGAAACTGTGTTGCTGTATCCTTTTGCCTTATTAAGGCTTTTAAGGGATATTGAATATTGGCGAAGACTAGCAGGTTTTTGAGTTACAGGCTTTTCATAATTTTATGTAAAGTATTGAGTGCTATAGATAGAGCATTGCTGTGGCCTCGGCAATTATAACATTCAGAGAGTTCCAGAACTAGATGTAGGCTTCTGTGTGTTTGGATATAAAGAATTTACTAGGCTGACAACTGTAAGTAGATAATCTCCCTTTTCATTGCAACTATATTTATTTAAGTATTTTACAAAATATCTTGATATGCAGTTACGCTTCAGGTTGATTTTCCACTCTATTGTGTTTGAGCAGATGGATATTGAGCAACAGAAAGACTGGATTTTTGGCTATTTTTAATATCATTTCATCTACAATTTTTTTCATGGATACTCATGTTCTGGAGGGAAATTTTTGAATATAGTGTGATACAGTAAGCATTTATATAATTAATATATATAAATTTCAGTATTGAATGGATGATTTTCTATTGAGGGAGCAATATAAAAAGACCAGCAAGCAGTGTTTGTTAGATCAGTATTAGTGAAATAAAACGTGGCATGGAAAAGCGTGATGCACCTCAGTTAGCAACTGCCTACGCAGAATTTTCTATGATTACTGCTTGTAGATATAAGTTATCCCTTTTTTTTTTTTTTTTTTTAGCTATTCTAGCCTACATTAGCTTGCAAAGTAGCCATGAGAATAAGAAATACGAACCTGGTCTACTGATAGTTCTCTTTTGGTGTTTTGCTAAGATTCACATTAGCGAAGCGTGTCGGTCAACATATTTTGTGTTTATATATAAGGCTGTATTATATATTTGTAGCTACTTTTATTTTATATATGAATATATAGAGAGAGGCTACTATGATTTTTTTAATGTGAAGACACTAAGTATTACTAAACAAATCACGACAGAGAACATTACAGCATGTTAAATTGATTGTGCTGCATTACTTACTGGAGGATATTTTCTCTGACTTTGTTGAACTTTGTTTAAATCCATAGCCTCTATTTTTAATTACCACTATATATTTTTGGAAAGAGATAAATGGCAAGGGTAAGGAGAAGGAAAAACTTACTACAATATTTAAATACCTGTATGTTATTTAAGAACCTGCAAGAACTGACTGTACTAATATAATTTTGTTCAGATTACGCTCATAACTGACTTTCATCCTTTCTTTAGGAGGTGATATGAAGATAGAAGGAGAAGCTGTGTATTGCTTAAGTTTAGCATATCATTTTGCTGGAGAACAACAGAGAGCATTATCAGTAAGTTTATTTTAAAGTTGCTTTAGCTTTCCCAATGCCTTTCTCTGCCTCCTTGGCATCTTCCTAGGCATTTTGGAGAGTGGAAAAGACTTGAGAGACTTGGCTCACAGACCTTCTATAACTGTATCTAGTTCTGTAGGCAGGAATCGATATGGCTTAAGCAATTATGGTTCCAATAAATTCCAGAACTGGTGGAGTCCAGGTTTCCATGCTTGGATATAAATTGACAATTTAGGATATATGTGACTAGTTTTCCTTTTCCTGTATTCATACATATATAAAACAGTTTTTATTTAGTTAGTTTTTTTGTACAAAACACCAGTTTTGCAAACTAGCTTGATACAGCGTATTTGTGAGCAATGATTAAAAATATATCTGTTCACATATTGAGCTTTTCAGAACATCAGGAATTTAGAAGAAATATGAATTGCTTTGGGTATGAAAAGCTGATGAAATCCCTTGTGTTGATGTTTGAGTCCAAGCTCCTCTTCTCACATTTCCCTTGAGCCTCCCATACATAATAATTCGAAGACAATAAGAATTCTACATGTGGAATTCTAGTCTGGAAGGAGGGTTCCTCTAGTTCGTAATAGGTCAGTGTGTGCCAGTTACTAGAGAAGGCACAGTCCTCCATGATCCTCTTAAAAATATTGTGTGGAAAATTAATTTATTTTAATATTTTGTCCAAGATAATTGCAATTAATCAGCTGGATATTTGCTATTTCTATTTCTGTTTGTTCCTTTAACTGCAGTGACTCAGTACTTTATTAATGAATATGTTTTATAGAGGTCATTCTTTGTGGTTATTTGTTGTCATGGTTTATTTTTTTCAGAGATAGACCAATAGAAGTCACAGATTGAATTCAGCATAGGTTTCAGTATTGCTTGCTTGGCTTCTGCAGTGTAGGAGGGGTTCTAGATTTCCGTCTTGAAATATCCTCTTACATGCTTTTAATGATTTGTGATACGATTTTTCCAAAAGCTATTGACCATCTTTATACATAATTCTTCAACGCTGATAGGCCTATCTTCTATATAAATCAACTGAATGCTGGAAGGTGGGGACCTGTTCTCACATCAGTTGCAGTCAAAGTCTGTAGCTGAATGTGAAAATATTTCAAAATTAAAAAGCTACATATAACTTTATAAAATTATATCTAATAGTCGCAACAGCAATGAGAAGAGGATATTTGATCTCTTCCAAGAATACAGTAGGACAGATTAGAGCTGAATTTTTTGTACTGAAGTTTATCTGCATTGGTTTTTTGACTGACAAGTGTGCTGGCATTCTTACCTGATCAACTTTTCCGTTAAGCTTCTGAGAGTCACAATAAGCTGTGTGAATGATGAAGAACAGCAAGATAAACAAATGTGCTAAATAAATGTGCATGCATATTTGATCTCTCCATCACAGGAGAAATTAATTCATGAACAGGACTGCACAGTCTCAGTGATATACAAAGGATCAAACTACCCTTGAAAGTGTCAAAAATATTAGATGTCCTGGCATTGTTTGCTCAGGATCCATTTTGCTTACATTGCATAGCTACTCCTTTCCCTTCATTGCTCCCCCATGCCTCCTGCCAAAAAGTTACAGCAATCATTTGGAAGTTCCATTTCTTTTTGTCACAGGCAGAATTACTATTTTTTTTAAGAAAGATTCTGAAACCTTGAATTTTGTAATGTACTACTATTAAAATATATACATAATAGGTTGTGCCTATTGTTTTTAGTCTTACAAAAACACCTGACAGGTAAGGAAAGCAATGCGCCTTTTTGTTAAAAGGGAGGGAAAGTCTCTGTAGTACAAAATATAAATGATACATTATGTTAAGAGCATAAAATGTTATTTCAACAGTAACAAAAATACCAATACTTTTCAGTGTAAATAACATTGTATTATAACATAGTGGCATTTCCAATAATATTACATAACAAATGTATGAAGTACTTTCATTCAGAAAATAGCGTGCGTTATGAGACTAAGAAAAAGGGGTAAAATTTTAGTTCCTTTTGTCCTTAACAGTGATCAATACAGACAGCAGTAAAATATCAGTGGCTGACAGTACTGTTGAGCACAAGTTGTCTTCACTCTCCAATTAGAAATCATTGCCTAAAATTTACCCTTCTGTTCTCAGTTTAATGGTCTCTGTATCCAAGGGGAGCTCAGATGCTTACAGAGATGAAATCATTGCATCCTGTTCCCCGAGGACTACTGGTTATCATTACACATAACATGCAGACAATACTGCTAGGAGCCAGTTTGCCTCATGGTAATATGTAGTTCATCACCAGCTTCTGTAGCATGCTAAAGAGGTCTTGCCACACAGCTTGGGACTATTCGGGTGTAGACTCAGGGGTCTCAGCAGTTATTTTCCTGCTTTGCATCAGTTTTCATCTTCTTTATCCTTTTGTGCTGTGGTCCACCTCAGGCAGTCTCCTTCTAGGGGAATCTGAAAGGAGCAGCTGTTACAGATACCATTTCCTCCAATTGTTGCCACTTGGTTCCTTTTGCTGTTCAGCGTGCTACTCCCTCCCCCAACATGTGCACACAGTAGCATGCATATAAACTTGTTTCTCTTTCATTCATGTCTTCTAGCAGAGTGGAGAAGCATATGTTCAAAATATTCATTATCTGATGCAGTAATTAAAGGTTGAAATGATTAAGCTGCAGCCTATTATATCAAAAATACGCAGTCACTTTGTATCAAATGGGCTAGTTTTGTTGGAGAAGGTTTTTTATTTGCTAGGTGCTTGGTGTATAATCTAACATAATTTGATTTGGTGCATAATCTGTATAAATTGATTTAATTTTATTTGATATATATGATTGATTTCAGTGGACCTACTCAGATGTAAAAACGTAAGTGTGTGCAAGTTTAAAAGCCTGAGAACTAATTATGTTTAATAGCAGTGTGGTACGTTCGTAATATTTTTCATATCACCTGGTTTATAATCAAGCCTAATGGCTTTTCCACAAAATATGACACAAAATATTAATAGTTCACATTATATAGATTTTATCTTAAACATTATAGATTTTGTCAGGGAGAGTTCTCCATCTAGGCTAATTTTAAAATAAAAGTTATTCTTTACTTGTTTTTCTTCAGGCTTGTATAACAAGTTAAGTGAAACACTTCTGTGTTATGAGAAATCTTGCATAAGGTATTGTAATCTAATGCTTGATGTGGGAATTTTTTTTTTTTTTTTTAAACTGGGCTTTCAAGAATGCTTCAAAGAGTTGGGCATCAAGGGTTTTTTCTCTTTCAATTAGAGTTGCATCCCAAATCATCAGGAAAATTCCAGTCCTCATCCCTTGTCTGAGCATTAGGGTTTTTTCCTAAGTGTTCCTTTATTTTGGATATTGAATCCTGTGTTTCAGATATGTTACATATTTAAATAATAGAGGCAGTGTTCATGAGTACTGAGACTCATGCCAAAATAAATGTGGTAATTTATGACATAATGCTATGTGCATGAATTGTCAGAATTACGATATACAAGCCACAGGCATAAAATTATCAAGAAAATTTATGAACTTACAAAGACATCTTCACATTCAAAATGACCCTATTAAAGTAATCAGAGGTGATTTATGACCATAAAGTTAATTTCTGAAAAAGTCTATGTCAAAACAACTGAAAATCGTGTCTCAACTCATGCAGCTAGAGAGGATATAAGTAAATGTGTCTGGGATGCAGATATTCTGAAGTTAGTACACATGGTATATTTTATCTAATTATATCTATTATATCTAATTATATGGATTATGCAACATATATGTGTATGAATTTGGTGAATCAAGGAGGATCTTAGCAAGTAAAAGAACTCCAAAATGTCAGCTGAATGTTATTCTCTTTTCTCCCAAACGTTGTGAAAGGTAGTTGAGAAGAATGACCATCGTTCCTTTGAGATTCACTTACTATTCTAGTGTTTTGCTAGAAGGCTGAACTTAAGACACTTTTCTGTCAGTGGTGTCTGGGTAGACCACTGAGTTTAGGTTTAAGCTTTCATTACTGTTACTACAAAAGGAAACACTTAAATGGAGACTCGCAAAACACATCAAAAGATACTATTCAATGGAAATTATTTCAAACTTCCTTCTTTTAAATCAGCCAGATTGTCCTTTATTCATCTATAAGTGATATTTAGCCATTAGTAATGAAGTGTAACTTCTTCAGCTTAGCAAATGGCGTCACGTGCTTGAAAAAAAATTTTAGCATACCAGTTTAAGAAAAGGTCTCAGCATTCCTAAAGGCTTCACTTTTAATTAAGCGATTTTTAAATTGTTCTTAAAGGTGTACTCTTACAGAAATTTTGCATTTTTCATATCTGAGGAATAAAAAAACCAGACAAAACTCTGTCATCTTTGAAGGTAGGCACATCTGATTGATCTTGACACTGACAATGGATTATGTACAGAGAAAGGTTTTCTTCTTGAAGGTCTAGAATTAGGGAGCCAATTCTGAACCTGATTAAATTTCGTGTTTCAGAAAGGTCTCACTGCTGCTAGGCATTGGTGAAGATAGTGCGAACAAAATCATGTGAGAACAATTAGTACTGGTAGTGAACTTTGCCCTGACAAAATATACTGACTCAAATACTGTCAGAATTAAGAAATTAGAAATTATTTATGTTGAGAATCTTAAAGAAGACCTGAAACTTCAGGAAAGAGGTGAATGTCTGATCATTCAATTAATTTTTTGTTGTTAATTGAGCACTTAATTCTTAAAGTGAAAGAAAGATCTAACTTTTTATTTGGATATGAAAGTTAACAATCTCTTAGTGAAGAAAGGATTTCTTCTGTTGGTTTAATTTAGATAATCATTTTCCTGTCTTAGCCAGTTTCTTGAAAACCTGAAAAACAAGGAAAATGTTTTGAGTAGCCATGAGATGCAATGATGCTGTTTTCGTTCAGTACTTTTCTGTATACCACGCAGATTTGCACCTTGATGATATGGTGTCCACTGCAATTGCCTTGGAACATGGTATCGTTTTCC